ACACAAGGCTTCTGCACCCGATGCTTCTGCACACAAGGCTTCTGCACACAAGGCTTCTGCACCCAAGGCTTCTGCACACAAGGCTCAGGGAATATCTCAGAAGAGGCAGCAGAAAGATTGTAAGAGCCAGAGGACCAGAAAGTCTAATGTGACATGTGTCTACAGGAAGTGACAGGGAACCAGCCCTTTGTGGCAGTGCACACTGTTAATTCCAGCATGAGGGAGGCAGAGGCAGGCAGATTTCCCCAAGTTCCAGGCCAACCCGTCCATGTGGTTCCAGTCTAACCAGGGCTACCCAGTGAGACCCTGTCTTAGAAACAAGTGACAGAAAAGCTGTACTCATGAGATCTCAACAATATAGCTACCTAAACAAGACCTGAAAAGTGACAGCACCAACAGACAAGCTAATGCAGAAGTGGAAAGCAACGATCTACAAGCTAATGACTGCTGAAGAAGGTACAATTAGTCTTTCCCAGTAATGAGCCTCCTAACTGGTTATCCAGTACAAAGTGGTCCACCCTGAAATTACACATACACAAGCCACACTAGATGGATTCAGCAGGATGTAGTTATATATTTATGCATATATATGTAACAAAAAGAAAAAGAGGCTATGGGAGGGTTGGGTGGAGGAAAGGGAATGGGAAATGACACAATTTCAGTAAAAAATAAAACTCTAAGAAAAAAACTTTTTAAAAGACCTCAGTGTGAGGTCAAGCACAATAAAATAAATGATAAGTCACAAATAGAAATGTTTCAAAATTCCTTCCAAGCCAATAATTAGTCTGCTAATCATACAACTAACTCCAATAAGTCAGGAGGAGAAGGGAAGCCTGCTGGTGGAAGGGAAATGGCCAAGGCCATGGCTGGTGATTAACAAAAGAAAATCACAGACCAGCTCAGCAGTCCTACAAACAGTTGGTGATGGAGGTGTGGATAGAGAGGGCTTGCCTAGCATGCATGTACATCATGGCCAAAAAGAAAAATGAAAAGAAAAAAGAAAAAAAAGTGACTGAGCCTTTCCAGTAAACACAGAAATTAAAGCTAAAATAAAATTCTACTTTCCTCCATTACGCTGGAACCTTAGCAATTCTGACGACACCAAGCCTTGGTAAGATGTTGAGGTAGACCAGCAGTCCTACAAACGGCTGGTGGGAATGCAAAGACGGCTTCGGTGGTGTTAGTGAAAACGTGAATGTTGTAAATTCTGTGATCCACAATCTCTAAATCTGCTCTAGGAAAGGTTGTCAAGAATGATGCCCTCTCTAGCACTGCATGCCACAGAGGGAGCCTGGGGCCAGCTCACTGCTCAGCCACGCCGACCCCACGAACAGAGCTTTGAAAGGTGTCAAGGGACTATGTCTATTTAGGGTCTGAGGCTTTCTTTGTAAAGTCTCATACCTCCTTCCTTTCCTTTTTCTGCATATGCAGATGTGGTGGCTGCACAGTTGTGTGCTAATCATGGAGAAGAGGCAAGAGATGGATCACCCTGATGTCATGGAGTCCCTCAGTCAATGTCTTCAAACGCATACCTCTCACACTACCTGGGGACTTAATCTCGACTTCTGTAAACAACTTCAGGTAGAGTTCTTTTGCTTGTACCTCAAACCATTCCTAATGGATTCAGCAAGTTTTAAAAAGCATGGCTGTTGTGGTTTGAATACAAAAGGTTCCCTATAGGCTTACACGTTTGGTCCTCAGATGTTGGTGGCATTTGGGAAGGCTATGGAACTGACATGAGGCAGAGACTTGAGGAAATATGTCACTAGGGTTAGGATTTGAGGCTTTGTAACCTGACCCTGCTTCCTGTTCTCTGCCTGCTTCCAGACTGCTGATTCTACGCAACAGGCTGTCATCACATTCCCATAGCCATGCTTTCCGACCATGATGGACTGCATCCCTTCCCTCCAAAACTGTGAGCCAAAATAAACCCTCTGTCCCTTAAGATGCTATGGCCAAAGTGCTTTTTCACAACAACAGAAGAAAAATGAAGATGGCCACCATCATAGAAGAGAGGCAAAGGAAACCCCAGGGCAACAGCAGAACTCTAAAGGTACAATTCATAGATGCCAATAAAAGAAAATCAAAGAATGCTGACAAGGTGTTCGTGCTGGTTGGAGAGTGGAATACATTACAAGTACTCAACTTTTCTTGCAGATATTTTTCTCCTTAAGCACCTATCCTACCCAAACACATACACACATTTTTAACTGGGTGTTTGGGAAATCTATTCCAAAGATGTGTGGAAAATTATTTTCACACATATACATGTATGCATACACACACATACACACACACACACACACACACACACACACTCACAGGAAGGAGTCATCCAAGGTGAAGGTGTCAGCTGTTAAGAAGTAGACTGAGGCACTAGACCCACTGAACCTTGACCTTTGATTTCTCAACCCTAGAACTATGGGAGACAGATTTTTGCTGCTTCTCACCCAGCTGGTTTGTGGTGTTTTGTTACAGCAATTTCTAATAGACCAATAGACAGCTGATTGCATGATGTCTTCTGTTCATGGGATACAGTGAGGCCAGGTCTTTGGAGTCTCAACAACTACACTGTGTCCCCACAAGTCAATTATTTTCATTGGGCCTCTTCCTGAGCAAGTGTTCACTGTGGGTAAGGACTGTCTTTTTTTTTCTGTTATCAGTGATATTTAGAACAGTGATAAAGTATTTTCCTTATCTCTACAGGGTCAACTCAACCATCCATGCACAGATGAAGAGAGCTTAGGATGATGCTCATAGAATCTTTTAAGAAACCAGGCTTTGACAGGCAGATCAAGATTGAGCCAGCAACCTGATCCAGAGTCAGCGATCTCCACCAGAA